AAAAAAAAAAAAAAAAATCTTAAATCTGGTCAAGTGATTTCCAGTGTTACACCAAAATATTGTATATGCTGTTCAGTGTCAGCATTTTCTGAGTACACAATCAAGATTATGGTACACTGGCTTTTAAAAAATCCCAATCTCATTTTAGGCTGGCGCATTCTGAGTTGTCCAAACAGCACTAAGAGTATAATCTTAAAATATAACAATAGCAGGAAAGAGTGAGATTTACACAGATCATGAACTCTTATGTGGGCAGGAATCTAGTCTACCACTCGGCCCACCAACTCTTCCAATATTATTTAGGCCAAAAGCAATCTGTGTGCATCAGAAATAAAGCTCAAAAGTCCTATGGATTTATGAAAGCGTGTTATGTTTGTCACTGGCAGGACTTGTGACAAAATCATCACTATTACACTAACTACAGGAAAGCTCAACAGGGCAAGAGTCTCAAAGTCAGACTGAGAAGTTTGAAAAAATCTTGCTAGATTGCCTTGCAGCGAGCGGGCATGGTGACACCCGCCTGAAATCCCAGCACTCAAAATGCTGAGGCAGAAGGATCATTGCAAGTTTGAGACCAGCCTGGGCTACAAAGTAAGCTCAAGGTCAGCCGGAACTGCACAGCAAGATCCTGTCTCAAAAAGACAAAAAACAAAACAAAACAACTGCCTAGAATGCACAATGCCCTGAGTTCAATCCCCAGTACCACACATACACAAAAATAAATTTAAAAAATTAAAAATCTTACTAGAATAACAAAAAATGGCAATAACAAGTTAAAGGAGACCAACTAAACCATGTTAAAAATACCTATTAAATTCAACTGGAATGGTACTGGAAAAGAATACATACTTCATATATTAGAGATATTTAAAAGTCTTTACCACATGCCTAATATGTAAATATAAAAGTCATGTATATATGTGTGTTGAAGTTTGTTTTTTCTAGCTTTTGTGAACTTTTGCTAAGTAGTATGCCCAACAGTCACATGAAAAATAGGAAAAAGTTATGAAAAAAACATAAATTTTCTATAAGAAAGAATTCTAGTAGGTAATATTTTCTTGTTTTATTTTTCTACAATCAAGAAACTGGGACCTTTTAGAAAATGTATCATTTAGTATAATTTCACATATGTCTTTACAGGCATGTCTATATCTCTTTTCCAAAAGAAAACAAAACTAAAGCAAAACACACATAAAAAAGCATTTAGTTTCACCCATTCAGAAATAATCAGTTAATATCCTGCTATAAATCCACTCAGATACTTTTATTTACACACACACAGATATACACACATATATACATGAGTTCTTCCTACATTCTAAGTTTTTCCCCTCAGATTATAATTAACTTGTATGTATTTTTTAAACACTGTTTTAATACACACTTCAATTTTATATTGGAAACTAATTTTGAAATAATTCTGTTTACTACATTAATCGCTCACCAGGCAATAATGAATTATTAAACTTTTAAATTAAATTACAAATTTAATTAATTTGGGGCCTTTACTTCAAGAGGAGAAGTAACAGATTCCTTCCATGTACTGGCATAGATTAAAAATTACCCATTAAGCTTGATCTAGCAGTAACAACCCTGAGTTCATTACTGCAGAGCAACAATTCCAGCTCAGGTCGCTGAAGCAAACACAGAGCCAGGTGTCCCACAATTAGGGCTCCTACAGGGAGGACAGTGCCACAGACTCAGACACTTTTGCCTCTTCTAGGTACTTCACAAATGTGGGATTTTGTACTTCTCTGCCACAATAATCAATTACTGGCCAAAGCAACATTAAAATGGATATAGAACAATTCACCTATGAAATAATGCAAAATTAAAAATATATTAAAAATGTCTTGAGTGATAATAAATGTTTTAAGATATAGCAATAATAAATACTTTAAGATATTTCATCTTAAAGCAAGCTGAATGAATTATTAATTCAGACACACTGAGTTAAAAATAGGAGATACTCTTAGACACACAGCCACTTTCAACTGAGCTTCCCGTATTAATATCATAACCAGGTCAGATAAATGGCTCCCCTTTTACCAGTAACTAGCTTCAATTATATTATTAACAGCCTCAAACGTATACCTTCCCTCCTACTCTAGCTTAAGTGAAAACGGGGGAAAAAGCAATGCTTCCCACTTAGGACAGCTTCTGACAATCCCTTCCCTGCTTCTTACCACCTGAGCTCTGAAATGGTAACACTGGAAGCAACTGAAAAAACAAACCAGAAATTGTTTCTCAGGTAACTAAAGAGACGGTGACCACAATGAAGGACATGGTTAGTGAGTTGAGAGCAGATACAGATAAAAAATAGATGAGCTTAGGAAAATGATGGAAACCAGGAATACTCAACATAGGAAAGAAATGGATTCCATGAAACAGATTCAAACAAATATCCAGATTAAAAATTCTACTGAAAGTTTATGCAGAAGAATTAACCAATGTGAGGACAGAATATCAGATCTAGAAGACAGTTTTGCATTTAGTAACATGAAATAAAAGACTTCTTAAAAATAGCAAGGGTCCACAATAAATCAACCCAACAGCAGCTGCTAGATGATGCAAAGAATAATGTAAGATTGATCCAAATCAATGAAAACTCAGGAGAGCACAAAGGACATAAAAAGCATGTTCACAGAAGTAATGGCAGAAAACTTCCCTCACTGTCTCTTAATTACACAGTCCTTAAAAGCAAATTTAAAAGGATGCAAATTCAAAATAAGCTTGATGGGGCCGGGAATATAGCTCAGTGGCACAGCGTTTGCCTGGCAGGCACGAGGTCCTGAGTTCAATTCCCAGTACAAAAAAACCAAAACACTCAGATGCACATTTCTTCAAGTCTACTTATGTCTTCCTGTGAATCAATTTGTATTTACAAACCTTTAGAAAATTCTTAAAACTCACTATAAGAGATTTAATAAAATCATTATCAGTGTTTAAATGTTTTAAAGCAAATCAGTTTTGTATGAAGTTTATGAAAAAGAAAATTTTTAACATGAATCAACAGTTGGTTTAATCTATTGATTATACTGAAAATACCAATAACAAAGGTCACTATGAAATCATAGGCAAGTTGGACAGAGTGGCGCACGCCTGTAATCCCAGCACTCAATAGGTTGAGGCATTAGAAGCCACTTTGAAGATACCAAAGTATAGTACAACAACTATTGATAATCTCCTACCTCTTCTGTCTGTAACTCACTATTATTTGTCTATTTGTTTTCCTGAGAAACTATCTTGTAGATAACAATATGTAAAACAATAACCATTGATAATTTCCTACCACTTTGTCTGTAATTTGGTAAGCCCCCCCCCATCATTATGTTATCCTTCTTTTACTCTATTTAAAAAAAGAAAAAAAAAAAAAAGGTTGAGGCAGGAGGATCATTGTGAGTTAGAGACCAGCCTGGGCTACAAAGTGAGCTCAAGGCCAGCCTGAACTGCATAGGGAGACCCTATCTCGAAAAGACTAAATGAATAAATCTATCAATCATAGCCAAAGAAATAAATTTATTTTTCTCTCCAGGTACATCTTCAATGTTTTCTTTCAAATGTGAAATTCTGCTTATAAATTGCATGAACAGCTTATAGCATTTAATTTTACACATGCAATGAAACATGTATGTCTTTTTCTCCATTAGAGCTACTGGTATGATCACTTTTCTCAGATTAGTAAAGCATGAGATGTTTGTACATCAAGAGCTGAAGAGTCTCTGTTGCTACCGTATAGCAGAACTGCTGAGAGAGCAAAGGGAGACAGAGCCACCCTTGCAGGGCACAGTGGTCTCAATCACAGTGATTGATAACACAGCTGCCATCAGGCTGCCTCATCCTATTAGATTTTGGTGGAAAAGTTCAGCACAGTTGAACAGAACTGATTTTCGATGCCTTTTGACGGGATGTGTCTGTATGAAACATACAGGCGAATTACTAGCCTTCCTAGTCTCTCGCATACCACCTTTAAGATTCCATGTCAAAGCTTTCAGATTCATCAAGGGAGCAAATGGCCAAGCCTCAAAGAGCACTTGCCCACCACTTATAGGTAAGATGAGGAGGAGGAAACATTTGGACAGAGACCAGCATGCCCAGGAGAGAGGCAGGAAACAGCCTGACAGAATCAATAAATGTATGTGATTAAATATGACTGGAGCAAAACATACTCTGAGGCTAGCAAAGAAGTCAGAGAGATAGTGACAAAATGCGTTGATAATGAAAGGATACCACACATGGAGCTGGGGCTTTAGCTCAGCGGCACAGCGCCTGACTGGCAAGCGCAAGGTCATGAGTTCGATTCCCAGTATCAGAAAAAAAAAAAAAAAAAAAAAAAAAGGAAGGATACCACACAAATCAGTAATCCAAGAATGCAAAATTTTCCTGAAAGCAAAGGGGAGCCACTGCAAGGTTTAAGCAAGAGAATGAAATTATCAGGGCTGTATTTTTAACAATTCAGTGTGGCAAAACACATAAAGAATACAGTTCTGACAGCATAGCGCCTAAATGCACAAGGGACCCTGAGGAAAGTAGGTGTAAGTAGATCCCAGGACAGTGCCAGCTACAGACTGGGCTTGCTCCAGTCTTCCCAGTCATTTCTGCCACGAGTCCAGGGTGACCAAGGGAGTGAGGCTGTGCACCAAGTAGGTAATTTCCACGCATGAGGCCACAGCTGCAGGGAAGGCACAGGCAGGAGAGTGAATGATGGGGCCACGGACACGCACACGAGCTGAAGGAGGTTCTCGGGGAGATGAGCATTCATTGCAGACAGTGAGCAGAAACCTGATAGGTCCTGAGAGACATTTCTCTCACTATTAGCTGACCATGAGTGTGGAGACCTGAGAAGTTACTGTGACGAAGACAGAAAAGCGGGTACAGGGGTCACTGAGTATAGATGAAGCCGCTTATATGAGAGTTCAACAAGAGAATCAACTAAAAAGAAAAGAAAAACTGAAAAAGGAAATATAAAGAGACTTTAGGTTTTTAGGAAATACTGAGACACAAAGAACCCAGGAAGGAAACAGAGCAGAAGCCAAGATGGAAAGAAAAGGCACAGGAATGTGGTGTGAGACAGGGGGACAGGGTCAGGGAGGAAGGACGAGGCCATCAAAGACTATGCAGGTACTGCACAGGCCAGCCAGCCACGGTGAGCGGTGGAGCCCCGCCGGGTATCCAGACAGCCACAGAAGCAGCCATGCACACGAGATGGGCAGGACAGCCAAGGAAAGGCTGTGGTGCCCAGCTCCACGGTGCCTCTGCAGCAGGGCCAGACGCCACTGAGGACGGCCCGAACAGCCTCACTGGAAACCTGCAGACCTGCCTGACACCCTTTGTTCCTCTGGACAGCAGACCAGGGCCTTCCGCCTACAACCATTTCATATTCATTTGCATTTGAAATACTCAATGTATTTTCTTAAGAGCAAAAACACCTTTTTTGCAGCGGTGGGGGTAGGAACCAGGGCCTCTTGCATGCTAGCTCTACCACGAAGCTAAATCCCCAGCCCAAAGAAAAAATTATTTTACAGCCAAATTTTATTCAGATTTCTAAGTCCCACAGTAAAAAATTTCCCTCAATAAAGGAGTTGAAACTCACTTATTACTTAACTTAAAAATTCTAAGTCACTAACTTCATTCCCAGTACCAACAAAACCAGCCCACTCTGTGCACTGACTCATGGCCGTGGCTTTCCTGAGCCCTAGAGCAGCTTTTGCAGATCCTCACACGTATGTTGTTATGTCCTCTTTACATGAGAACAGGTACTTATTAAACGCACTAGTCTCTAGCTCATTTTTCACGCACACCTTAGAAATCTTCCCTTGTTGGTGTACAAAGGGCCTACAGATTCCCTCATACTCCCGACAACCAGTATGCTTTTTGAAAAACTGAAACCAGTTAAAACCACTGAAGCTCAAATAGGACTACCTGCTGTTTCATGAGCTATGAGAAACACCCTGAATATACTTAAAACCTAATATACCTAGGCCATAAAGTAGTTGCTAGAGTAGTTTCTTAAAGGAAATAGGTGACGCTCCTAAGATTGGGCCTAGAAAGCTGCTCTGCCATTAAGCATCCTAAGAAGCAGTTCATCAGTGAGCCCCAGCCCCGCGCAGTCACCCCACTGTGGCAATGGGCTCAGAGCTACAATGGAAGCAGGTGTCCTGGCCCGTTCCCCTGCAGCTGCCCGTAAAGAGCTCAGGGCCCACTGGTGTCACAGAGCCTGACTTCCTCCATGGGCCACAAACAGCAGTGAGCCTGCCCTAGGACGCCAGCCAGTGCCACCCTATTTATGAGGCAATTCCAACCCATACTGCAAGCCTCACTCTTGGTTTGTATCCCTGACAACAGGAACCGCTCGGTCAGCGTGGTGGGGCAACAGAAATCCATGTGGGGCCTGTTTCTTAGCAGGCAGTGTCTTCTGTAGTCTGCCTGGACACTTCCGACCCTCAGGCCCAGCACAGCCACCAATGAAAGGCATGGAGCCACTGAAAGGCTCCTCTATAGGTGCTCTAGAAACCACTCCTCCAGATGGGAGGAGATAAGACAGCTCAGGGTCACTTTCACACTGCTTAAGACCAAACTAGCTGCAAATTCAAACTCGTGCATTTTGCTTCATCTCAACCCAGTTTATTTCAAAGCCTTGAAAAATGAAATACTCACTAAATTTCCAAGGACAACCTGATAATAACGGTGCTGTGAAAAAAGGTGAAAAAGAAGTAGAATACTGGCTCTACCACGCAGGCAGGAGCCCAACATTTCTGCTACAGGTGTGTGACAAGGACTAAACTCTCGTAATAAGATGCCCCACAGCCAGGCTTGGTGGTGCATGCCTGTGATCCCAGCACTTGGGAGGCTGAGGCTGGAGATCACTGAAAGTTTGAGCCCAGCCTGATTTCAAGGCCAGCCTGAACCACATAACAAGGTCCTGTCTTAAAAAAAAAAAGATGCTACACAAACAGCTGGCTTGATGTGGTAGCGAACACATACAGCAGGGTGCCAGGAAGAAGAGGTCAACCACAGTAATTGTTTAAAAAAAGAAAACCTTCCACTTTCTATGAAGTGTGTGGAGAACTCAATATTCTGCATCTTGCTCTATCAGAAAGCAGTGGCTGAAGTGATAGCAGGGCAAGTGAGCATGCGTGGGGCTGAGGAGACCTGCCTGACTTTGGGCACCATCATGCGGTGCTGCACCATAAGCGTGTGGCAGATGGAGGCCATCTGCGTGAAGACCTCCTCGCTGGCCGAGTCCCGCCACACCAGGTTCAGCAGGGTGTTGGTCTGCTGCTTTGTGTCCAGCTTCTTCAGACACTCCTCGGTGATGTAACGGGCGGACAGTCGGCCATCCTCCTGCAACAACCAGGACAGGGGTCTAAGTGCCAGCTGTGCTCCACAGCGCCCCTTCCCTAGAGAGAAGGCAGCAGGCCAGTCAAATCCACGTCACACAGGGCAACCCTAGTGCACTCCTGCCGTCCTCCGGGGCTCCAGCCCCTCCTGGTGTCTGCTGCTCCCAGCCTAAGGGCACAGAAATTGTACTGCTTGGCTCCTGCCCACCAATATGACATTTTTTCAGTATTTACCTTTTAAGAAAAGTTCATTCCAAATATTTTAGATTGAGTTGTAGTAAGACAGCATTTCCACTTTACATTATTTGAGATATCACAGTTTAAAGAAAACATAAATTAACTTTTCTGTACTGGAGATTAGAACTAGGCCTTATACTAAACTACATCCCTATCACTTTTTGAGCAAGTGTCTCAACTAAATTTTCCAGGCTGTACTTCAACTTTCAATCTGCCTGCCTCAGCCTCTAAGAGTAGCTGGAATCACGAATCACAGGTGGGTGCCAGTGGACATGGAACTATCAAAACAATATATATATTTGGTTTTTTTTTTGTTTTTGTTTTTTTGTTTTTTCTCCGGTACCGGGAACCGAACTCATGCCCTTGCGCTTGCCAGGCAGGCGCTTTTTGCCACTGAGCTAAATCCCCAGCCCCCAAAACAATATATATAATAAAGGATCTATTTGATGCCTTATAGTTTTCTAGAAGATCTGAGGCACTGAGCAAAGCCTGAGACACTATGCCATACAGCATACGCATTTGGGGCATTAACCAAAAATGTATACTTTCACACATGTAAATAAGAACGTGTAATTTTCAGTACTACTTACTATGTCACTTAGATACTTTGATATATGTAATTTACAATAATTTACAAAGCACAACATTTCTTTAGATTACAAATCATAAATTCCACCTGTTACAGTTGAATCTTTCAGATGCACACAAAAAGATATAATATAGGCACTATTTCTGAAGTGTACAATTTAAAAATAAACTACACATAGTAAGTGAACAGATTACACAGAAACTGTAAGCATCCACCAGAACATTCAGCTGTAAAACAAAACTTTATAAAGGGCAAACTGACTCTGAAAACTCTCACACAACCAAATAAAGTTCCACACAATGAGTATCACAGGAGAGAAAAGGCAGTATGTAAACATGGACATAAACAACAGGGCCAGAAATAAATGACTTCTGGCTCACAACTGGGTCACATGGTTTCTCAGCTCAAATGCAGGCAGGAAAAAAGGGGGAACACCTAAGGCCAAGGAAAAAGGAAGAGGATAAGAGAAATAAAGTATAAAGCTGGACATAAGTAGACCTTAAAGCTCATGCCTATTAAAAAAAGACGAGTGGAGTGACACTTTGCACAACCAATAAATAGATCTCTCATTTCGCCGGACAACAGGGTCGAATGCAGGGCCTCAGGCGTGCCAGGCCAGGACTCTGCCACAGCCCAGCCTAGGCCTCCCTGCTGCAGCTGTGCAGGCGTCTGGTGTCTGCTGGCCAGTGACATCCCAAGGAAAGCTTGTCACTCCCTAGCTCACAAGGCCTACACCCACAGCAGTATGTGGACAGTAAGCATACTTTTTACTTTCACAGATTCTCTAGAAGATAATTATTCAAATATTAACATTCTTCTAGAGATAAATTTCATCTACATTCCAGCTACAAAATGCCAGTTTTTGGACATAAAACAAAATTCGTACTTTTTTGGTTGTACAGTTCTGAGTGTTTTTGTAGTCTCGGGACTGATCTGCGCATCCTAGGCAGGTGTCTGACCACTGACCCATGTCAACAGGGTCTTGTAAATCACCCAGGTTGGCTTTCAACTTGTGATCCTCCCGCCTCAGCCTCCACAGTAGCTGAGATTATAGATGTGCACCAATAAGACTGTCTAGTTCTGTGTTTTGACAGATGTGATAATTCCAGAACCCACCAGAACATTCAGTGGTACCCTCTCGTACCCGCGGTAACCCTGTAAGAACATACCGTTCTTGCTGGATTCAAGCTCACTCCACACTGAGCAGCCCTCTGCACTGCAAGCATAGTCCTCAGCTACCCTGTACCTCCTGACACCCTGAAAACATGCCTCACCTGGCAATGGAACCACTCCAACCCTGAAAACATGCCTCACCTGGCAGTGGAACCACTCCAACCCTGAAAACATGCCTCACCTGGCAATGGAACCACTCCAACCCTGAAAACATGCCTCACCTGGCAATGGAACCACTCCAACGTGTATCTGGTATTCAAATCAGTATTTATCACAAGAAACACCCTAACCAAAAACAGAAGAGAACTAGAAAAGTGCCCGGGGGGCAGCCTTGGCTGTAGATGCTGCTTACCGGCGTGGTAGGCTGGTCAGCCTCCTCATTCTCATCCTCGGAGTCACTGGAGGTGTCATGGGAGTTGGTGCTGGCAGGCGAGGCAGGCAGCTGGGAAAGGAAGGTCTGCAGCACGCACAGGTACACCAGGAGGCCCTCCTCCGAGAGTGTCCCTGTGGAACAAGCAGGCACGATCCCCTCAGCCAGTGTCACTTTCCAGGCGCAGCAGTCTCTTGGGCTGTCTGAAGAATCCCCCCGTGGCATGCTACAGTGTACGTGACCCCCCCCTCAAGGTGTGCTCATGCTCAGTGTGCTCACAGTGAACAGGGCCCCAGTCACCTCTGATCATTGCACAGTGGGGCAATTAGGACCAGTGTGGCTCGCCCAACTTCCAGGAGGGCAGGGGAGCAAGGCTGGTAGGAGCTCTGCTCCGCCCTGCTCCCCGGCCCCCTACCTGTGCACCTCTGTACCTGGCTATTCACCAGCATCTTTTACAGTAAGTGGTGCACAGTGTAGCATCTCCATCAGTCCTGTGAACTGCCCCAGGACACCTTTGAGCCCCAGTGGGGCCCCTGAACTCCAACTTTGCTGGCTCATCATTAGCACAGGTGACTACTGAGGATGTGCAATCAGTGTCTCAAGTGGGGCAGGCTTCGGAGGCTGAGGCCTTACCCTGGGGTCCAGCCCTCTCTGGTACTGTCAGCACTGACTTGGTTATAGTACGCCCAGCCACTGCCCACCGTGGGGCGGCTTTGTGTGTGGGAACTTCTGTGGAGGACAATGCAGGGTTTAAGCTGGGAGCTGCCTGGGTTTCCCAGGCCTCCTCACACTAATGGGACACATGCACTCAAACATCCTAGAGGCAGCTATCAACACTGTGCCCCAGAAGAGCTGCCTCACGAGACTGCCTGGCCATGCACAGCCTCCCTAGGCCATGGCCCGACCAGTCCCTCTGCAGTGCCCCCTCCAGGACCCGCAGGACATCCTATCTGCCACATCCCACTCGCCCCTGCCAGGCCTCCTCTTGGCTCATCTGCTCTTGCTACCTATGTGGGAGTTTGGGTAAAATATATCTGGTATTTCATACCCAAATGGTTTTCGCCAACAGTTAAAACAAAATAGAAAAGCCAAGGTGCTCCAGCACTGCTGTTTGAACATCTACTCTCTAGTAACAACAGTGCATTCAGAAAGGGTGCGTAGGGGAAAGCGGTCTGCACGTCTGCTAACGCCGGGATGACAAAGTGGAACAGCTGCTCTGTAAAAGGTGCCACCAGAAACTCTTCTGTGAGGGCTGAGAAAACTTGCTGCCTGGAAAGGAGAATGGAAGCTTTCTGTAGACTCAAAATCAACTGTTCATCAAATCCACATTTACAACTACTTTTCCAAGCATTTTTCTAAACAATCTACATTCTAAATGAACTGTTTACAATCATTCAGACGAACCTGAAATAAATCCATGTTTTGTATCTTTTCATAGCTTATATAAAGTAGGAAAATAACATTGTCAGAAATTACAAAATGATATTAGGTTAAGCCAGAAAGAAAAGCACTCTAGTAACTGTCCCTTTGGACTAAGCCATAGCAACAAAGTAAAAACTTGACTCTCAAGCCTGTACTTAAAGCAGTATTCCTAGTGGTGGAGCATGCCTGTAATGCCAACACTTAGCCTGAGGCAGGATGATCACCTCGAGGTGAAGGGCGGCCTGGACTACATAGTGAGTTCAAGGCCAGGGCGAACTACACAGCAAGACCCTGGCTCAAAAAACTAAAAACAAAAAACAAAAACAAAAAGTAAAGAAAAAGAAAAAAAGCAGCATCCCACGGAGTTACTGTGAGATCCAGACTTTGTGACGTGACATCAGGAAGGCTATTCTTCTTACTCACCTTGCACCTTCTACACAGGAGCTGTACGTAAAGTGCAATGGTTTTAGGACATTCTCCAACAAAATTTTTGCTATAGGAACTCGAGACAAATCAGAATATTCAATACTTGATGGAAGCTTGCTGTTAATCAACAAATAAAGAGACCTATAATACCCTATGAGAAAGGAAAGACACATTTAAGGTGTTTTCTTATAACAAAGGAAAAACTTCATTAATTTTTAAGTCCCTTTTACAAATTTCCATAGCTTCAAATTTAGATTAATTCTTCTAATGCTTTACTAAGGAAAACTTTAAACATACACATTAGTCATGTGATTGGCACGCCCCCCCAGGTACCCATTACTCAGCACCAACTGCTGTCAATGCTAGCCAACCTCACCTCACCTACTCAAGTCCATCCAGGTAGATTTCAAGAAGTCACCAAAGAAAGACTCCCAGTCTCACCTCCCACAGGCTGACCTGCCATAGCCTAGTCTCCAGGCCTCCTAGGTTCCCATCCGAGAAGGTGACATACCAAACTACCATAATCTGGGCACCAAGAAAATTAACTGGTTCAAAAGCAACTTGATATAGACAGAAACAACTCTGATGACCTCCACAAAGTTTTCCTTTCTAAGCTTCGATATAATGTCAGGTTGTGCAGTAAACCCATGGTCCAAATCACGTATTCTTTTAAAAACGGTCTCCCACAGCCTGTGCAAAATAAGAATGATGCTCAGATGTGGTTTGTGACAGCTTAACTTCCAGTGAAAACCACTTGGTCAGATTTACTTTTATAGCAAAACTGGCTGCTCCAGTGGCTTGGCCATGCGACTGAGGCACCACTCGGGATAATGGGAAGCAGGGACTCCACCCGCTTGCTCTCACAAGGACCGTGCTCCACTGTAGATGTGAGCTAGGTTCAAGGGCTGGAGCAACTTCTGAAAGCAATTCTCACTCTCATGTTAAGCCGAGACAATGAAGCACAGTGAGTCTGTTGCTTCCACAAGTTCAGAGTGGTCCAGGGCAGCTGCAGGCACCTCTGCAGGTGCAAGTAATCAAGGTGGTCCCTGGGGGAAAGAAGGGCCTCATCGCATCTCCCCATGGGTGTGGCCCCACCCTGCTCACCACTGTGAATCATGTAGTGCAATATCTGTTCAATGATTGACACCACGTAGCCGGCATCCTGCAGGACAGGCAAATAGGTGTTCTCGGAGGAAAACACCTCAAGCATCCGCATCGGGAGAGCAACATTCAAACTGTCGTCAGTACAGTTCTGTAGCAACCTGGAAAAAGCAAGGACAAACAAGCTTACTGGATGGTCAGTCACCAAGGTTTCCCCAAACTCCTCTCAGCTACTACGGTGAGTGTCTGAACCTCTCTGTTCTGCAGCCACAGTCTGAAGACAGGTGTGCCTGAAGAGACAGACAGAAGATGGATGCTGCTATTCAGATTTCTTCAGAATCTTCATTAGGTCCATACGAAGGATGCACAAGCCCAGGAAAAGCAGACGAACACAGGCTGTGTGTGTGTGTGTGGGTTGGGGGGTCCAGGCATATAGACGTCCTAGAGGCAGCTATAGATGGGGCCCCAGTCCCTGCTCTGCGCAGAGTAGCATGGCAGCACCTGTCTGCAGTGTAGCACCGAACACACCTCCAAAACCTGCTCCTGCCTCTGTCCAGCACTGGCTGTGTGCACTTAACAGGGGACACGTCTACATGGGGCACACGTGGCAGCTGCATAAACACTCCCGGACAGGCCTCAGTGCACCATGCCTGCCCCTCACTGTCCAAAACCTCCTAGGTAAGGATCCCTGGGTCACGTGGAAGCTGTGGCTTTGGCTTTATAACAAACCACCAAATCTGTAAGATGCAATGGAGACATCAGCTGCCCCACATTCCAACTTCCAACACTCTGCCATTCTAAGGTGTTTGCAGCTCTAAGTCACTGTGAGCAGAATTCCTGGTGATGACGGTCACTCAAGAGTCTTCTTTTCACAAGGGCCGGCCTGCCTGCTGCCAAGGTGGACAGCCATCCTCTACCTGAGGCCATGCTTCGTCCTCTCACCTACTCAGACGCATCGTTCCGGCTGTCGTGATGGTCACGGCACTTCCTCCTCAACACACAGCCCATTGATTTTCCCCAATTACTGGGAATCTCTCCTTGCCAACCCCACCCCAGGTCTCCGCCCCACCCTTCACAATTCCACTCCTCCCAGCTGGAGCCTTGCGAATCTGCAGGAAGCCATGCACTTACAAGGACACTTAACATTTTGCAAGATACTTCTAGTTATCCATGCAAGAAAACATCATCCAGAAGATACTTATGTTTGTATTTTATTTTATTTTATTTTTTTTATTTTTTTTGGTTTTGGTTTTTCTCCGGTACCAGGAACCGAACTCACAACCTTGCGCTTGACAGGCAGGCGCTTTTGCCGCTGAGCTAAATCCCCAGCCCCTATGTTTGTATTTTAATTTCTATGTCATACAGTATAGAATCACCTAGAGCAAAAATCATAGTATGCAGAGTATTTCATGTCTTACCCCCAAAAAACTTACAAAACTGCCACTGTCTCAGAAAATGCAAATCACAAGCTGTTTCCTAGACATGTGAGGTGGTCAGCACACTATGTGAGTTACTGTGACAGAATTTACCTGCAACAGAGGCTCATCAGCCTCTTGATCTGAAACAAGCAAGTCAGTCTCTCAGATCCGTCCAGCTGCTTGACAAACACAGAGCTATGTTTGATTAAGTTCTGGTACAGCCATATCTAAAACAGCAAAGCACACAGAATACAACTCTCAATCCATCAAAATGTTTGCCAATTTACTTACAAAGTCTTCTCAAGTAGTAATACACACTTAAACCTAACCAAAAACTAGCAGATAAAATTTTCAAGTCCAGTTTTACTTTGTAATATTTGCATTTTCATCTTAATACAAGTGTTATGTTAAATTACCAAATAAGTTACTGTAACAAAGTACTTTAACAAAGCTCATGTGGTGGACACAAAAACAGTTCATCTACAAAAACCAGCAAGCCGTCCTAAAAATATAAGACAGGACTGACCTTAGGCTAGATGGACTGCCTATTTCAGGCTCCACAATTCCAAACAAGGCCAGGTCTGTGACCAGGTCACCAAGAGAGCCCACTCTCCTGGCCACGATGGCTGGCCAGTGAGTTCAGTACGATGGAGTCTTTCTGTCCCCAGCATTCCAGGGCACTGACAGTATGCAGTACATACACAGTTGCCATAAGTGATTCTGAAAATGCAATCCCGAACAAGGAATCTCTTCCACTTACTCTATTTTTGTGAAATAGATTGGTATTCTATTCATCTCACAAGACTCACAACCAGCTGGAATTTAGAAAAATAGCTTTTTAAATATGGCTGGTTATGCATGAACCATGGAGCCATTTGTCTATTATCTTTAACTGGCTTTTCCACTTGTCTGATGTAATAGAAAAACTTCTTGAATAACATTTTAAAGTCTATCCTATGTTGGGAGGATATAATTCTGTGACACATTTTGCAAAGAAAAGTAAGCAACTAAAAAGTGAGCCAAGTATTAACTCTATAAAACTGAAGGTAAAACTACGTGAAAAAAATACAACCACAGTAATTATTTGATTTAGCAGGGAACCATAGAGATGGTGGAAGTCTGAGGCTGACACCTCCCTGCCTTGGCCCCGGCCCCGGCAGCCAGCAGCAGGCTTGGCTTGCACAATTCCAGGACCCACAACCAGCTTTCCTCATGGTCATTACACAAATAAAGGGAGAAGGCAAGAAGGTAGCCATCCATGTATGCTTAGCTTTGCACTGAGTATCTCTGAAAAACCATAAAAGGTAGCATCATGCTTGCTCTGCAGTCAGAATCCAGGAACCTGAAGATGGACCAGCAGGGACTTTTCCATGTGGCTGCTCTTGCAATCAATGTTAGATAACTGAACAGAAGACATTCAAACCCAATTTTCTTGTATGAAACAAGTTTGATGGCATTTTATTCTACTGCAGATTTCAGAATCTGCACCAAAGCAATTTGCATTGGATGCCGGCATTTAGAAACCAGGTGGAGCTTAAATGGGCATGGTGGTACATCCCTGCAATCCCAGCTGAGGCAGGACTGCTATGAGTTTGAGGACAGCCTGAGCTGCAGAGTGAGACCTTACCTCAAAAAACAAAACAAAAAAAAGCAACCCACAAACAAAAGCAAAGAAACCAGCAGAGGTCACAGACTAAGCCTCATTATGGAAGGAAATGGCTCCTCTAGACAGCAGAACAATATTCCCAGTACCTGCTCTCGTCTCTGCTCCTTGGCAACCTTCCCATCTCCAAGACTAGAGCATGGAGACAGGCACAACTGTGTGGCCTGCCTGCAGCTGTGCCTGATGCTTTTCCTCAGGAACTTCAGACAGGAAGTCTAGATCATGCCTGCATGGCTGTGGCCCTCTGGACAGTGCAGGGACACAGCATCTTTCCCATGTGCCCTCCCGCCAGACTCAGGTGGCAGGGCTGGACTGACACAAGCTCCAGACATACAGTCAGTGCCTCCTTTGATCTCGGCACTCACCTCAGAGGAAACTTTCTAAGAAGCACGCTTTGTAGCATGGAACCTATTTTGCATTGTAGACCCCACCTTTTAACATACAATTTGAAATTTCATTACAGATAGTGTAAATGAAAATTTCTAAGAATAGGCGAATGGGTAATAACTTCCATCTTGAAAAAATGATTCCCGATGTATCTGCCCTTATTTTGTAGCACTCATGCACACCAGTAGCAGTTTATTTTGTAGCATTATTTTGTAGCACCTCATCACCAGTAGCACCAGAGCCTGTAATATTCTTAAGAAATGTGCGATGGGTTGCCCACTCTGGGAAACGTCCTGAGCTAGGCCAGGACTATGAGAAAGGCTGGGGATGGGTCCTGGGGTTGTGCAAGCCAAACCTGCTGCTGGCTGCCTGGGCCCCAGAGGTGGGGCAGGGAGGCGGTAGCAGAGCCTACTTCCTTAATATTTGAAACTTTCCATACTAAAACAATGAAAATGCCTATTTCAAATGTGTATTGAATTGTAAGAGGAGCAAAGCATCACTGCAGGGGTGAGGAATATTCCTAAGGGCTCATACAGACTGGAGGGTTTCGCTGGCTTTTGCATCACACACTCACAATCTCTGTTTGTTTAAAAAAAAAAAAGTTGGAAAACACAAGAGTATAAACAACAGCAAGTGAAATATGTGTGCACACTCACCAAACGCTTGGAGTCTTCACTCTGCTTGTAAAAGAACAGAAGCTGCCTCACCAGGATGGTAAGGCTGGGGCCATTGGCAAGGGAGAAGGTGCCACCCAACTGTGCCGCACTGGCACAGCGATCAAACGCGCTTCTTTGGAGGGAGTACTGCAAGCAAAGGAACAATCCATAAACCTGCCACCAGATATCCAGTTCTTACCATCTAAATAAAAGCTAAATGACTGTACAGGAAGGCTGGACACTGATGACTAAAATGTGATTATAGAAGTTACTGGTGAAGATTCAAAAAAAAAAAAAAAAAGCCAGGCGTTGGGGCTGGGGATTTAGCTCAGCGGCAAAAGCGCCTGTCTGGCAAGCGCAAGGTCGTGAGTTCGGTTCCCGGTACCGGAGAAAAACCAAAAAAAAAAAAAAAAAGCCAGGCGTGGTGGTGCACACCTGTAATCCCAGCACTCGGGGGGGGGGGGGGGGGGGGGGGGGCTGAGGCAGGAGGATTGTTGCGAGTTCCAGGCCAGCCTGGGCTACAAAGTGAGCTCAAGGCCAGCCCGAACTGCATAGCGAGACCCTGTCTCAAAAAAACAAACAACAAAACAAAGAAGTTCCTAAACACTTGCTAAAAGAACCTTTCTGATATACCTGTTAACTCCAACTCTCTGTTCTCTGGAAGAATGAGGCAAAAGGGTGGTAAGTTTAAGCCTGGGCAACTGTGAGTCCCTGTGTCAAAATTACAAATAAAAAGGGTTGGGGATAGTTTAGTGCTCAGGTCCTGAGTTCAGCCCCCAGTACTGCAAAAACAAAGATAAAAAGAGAAACAAACTTTTTCAATACTTCCTTCTATTTTGATCCCAGTTATGGTTTGGCCCATGTTTGTATTTTACTATTTAAAAATACTCAAAACACCTGCATACAGTGGCTCATGTCTGTAATTTTAGCACTTGAGTGAGGCAGTAGGACCGGCACAAGTTCAAGGCCAGGCTGGGTTATATAACAAGACCTTGTCTCAAAACACAAAGTAAACAACCCCCTCAAGTTACCAAAACCTGCTATAAATCTGTATGTAAATATAACTAGTGAAGTATTATTACTATTATTTACTTGTGGTACAGGGGATAGAACTCAGAGCTTCACACATTACTGGCAAGTGCTCTATCACTGAGCTTCACCCCCAGCCCTAATAGTACTCAGTTTAATTAGAAAAACCAGTTCTAACATTAACTTCCCTTAAGCAGGTGTATAAAAACACACAAAAGACGCTACTCATAAGAACAAGCCCAGATTTAAAATCAGCTCTCACATGGCCTTCTAACTATTTTAAAAACAAACTTACTTGCTGCTTTCTGTCTCTGTACCCTCGAATAAATGACTGGATAATTATTGCATTTTTCAATCTTCGCCTTTCTTCCTGTACAATTGAGGGAGGAGGCAAAGGCAATTGGTCAAAATCAGGCAAAATGACAGCTAGCTAGCAAGGATTTAAAACAAATAACAACAGCTAAACACTCTGGCACCACAGAGCTCTGTGACACGCACCGCCCCGGAGCACGCCCGCCAGCACAGCCACAGTCACACAGCCGCCACCACCACCACCGAGTTCGGGCACATTCGTCACCCACCCATCGCCCCACACTCCTGCGTCTCCCTGGCTTCCCCACCCTGCACCCTCCACCTCCCTGGCATGGTCTTTGGTCTGGCTTCTTCACCGAGCAGGTGTTTTCGAGAGTCACGCAGACTGCGGCGTGTGCTGGCACCTTGACCCTCTTCATAGCCAGTCAGTGTTCCCCATCTCACACCGCTTCTCCACTCATGAGCTTCTGAGCCCTTGGGCTGCGCCCACCTGGGCTGTCATGAAGAGGGCTGCTCTGAACATTCGTGTCCACATTTTCTGTGGACAGTTTTCGTTTCTCTGGGGTATCTCCCTAGGAGTGGAACTCGTATTTCTGCCACATTTTCCAAAATGGCTATGATGTTTTACAATGCCACCAATACAGTAAGACTATTTAAAAAGCTCTAAACATTAAAATATAGACAACACAAACATTTACCTAAAAGGTCTCTTCTAAAAACTCCAATCTTTACTGACTTGAGACTGTTTTTAAAGATCTCAGAGCCTTGAGAGAAACACTTTCTAAACTCCCATCCCTATACCTACGCACTGTCCTATCCAACTCCTGCACAACAGCGCACAACAGCGCAGCTGTGACAGGCACCTCCCACACTCAGCACAGGAGGTCCAACCAGCCTGCGCGTGAAGGCCAGAGTTCAAGCCCTAGCGGCCCTACCACACCAGGCACTGGGCCACACACACCCCTGCGCGCTTGTGGATCTTCCTGTACCCTGGGACGCACGTCGCTCCCCACCCACGCAAGGAGACTGAGAACAGCCTCAGGCCAGGCTGCATCCCAGGCGCTCCACAAACGGCAGGCCCATTAGGGCAGGGGTAATGGTGTCCTCATCACGTCCTGCCGGAGGCAATGGAACACTCTCCAAGCCCACAAAAGACTCAACTGCTAGCCTCTAAACACTGCTTAAAAATCTACAATCATGTCTAAGCAATCAAAAGACAAGAGAGCTGTAAACACTATTAATTAGACACTACTAAAAAGGTAAACTGTAAATCAGTAGTTAGTTTAGGTCAGGTGTGTGGCACACACCTGAATCCCAGCTACTCAGGAGGAGGCTGAGGCAGGATGACGTGTTCAAAACCAGCCAGTGCAACTTCCCAAGACCCTGCCTCAAAATAAAATTACAACGAAGGGAGGAGGGGGACACTCAGTGCTCTTACCTAGCATGCAAGAATCCCCAATTCTCCCAAAACAAAACAAAAGCTGGGCCAGAGGAAACACCCAAACTGAAGCACAGGTATGTGAAAGGATAAACAGAGAAAAGCACGCACGAGACTTGTAGGACCTCAGGCAAAGGTACAGCTTGTCTGCAGCTGACTTGGAAGGGGGAGGGGACAAAGCAGATGAAGAACAACAGCGCCAACTGCTCTTCTCAGCTGGTGACCTCTAGCCACGCTCCGCTCCTGGCTGTCACAGTCGGGGAGGAAATGCTGATGGCATCTACTGGGCAGAGGCCAGGTGTCCTCCAGTGCACAGTACAGTCCTCGCAGCAGTGTCCAGTCAAAATGCCTGCAGCAGGGAGCTGGACGCCGCTGCCGCTTCCTGACTCTGCAAAGCACCTGCTTAGGCCACCCTGTCCACAGGGATCCCAGGGACCAGGGTGACTCTGCTGCCTCTACAGCTCTCTGCACACTTCCTTTGTTAATGTCCACCAGGAGCAGCACCCGTGTCTGCCCCACGCACTGCCCAGACACCCACCAAGCTCTCAATAAATCAGCTGCTAAAACAAAATGAAAAGCTCTATCCAGCAAAGCAAGTTCAAGTACTAATAAGTCAGCAAGTCACTCCGACAGCATCCCAGGAGGCTGTAAGGTAAAGGGGGAAAGGAGCAGCGCCGTGGGCCCGTCTCTCCCTACTCCCCAGACGGCTGAGACCCGCGCTCTTCTAAGCCAAGTGTGCCCCCGCTGGAGGAAGCACACACCCCCACTGGCAGGAAAGCCCATCCGCGCCCACGCTCCCTCTTACCAGCCTGTCTGCCCAGCTCTGTCTACAGCAGTTGCAGAACAACGACCTCCTGCCAGCTCCAACGCTCCAGAACACTACTAAAGCCAAACACTGACACACCTGAGTGTGTGCGCTCAAACCAGGCTGTGGAAAATACTCATGCATGAAGAGCCTCACAAAGCTGGCTTACCTCTCTCTTCCTTCTCTCTTCCTGAGTGCGATGTAAAAGAGAAGCTTTTTCTTCCTAAATACAAAAAAACGAAGAGAAAATCAGAGAAAGGTTATAATTTCAAGTTTAAAAGCACTCTCAAAGCTTACAGAATATTTTGGTCCAAAAGCCATTGCAAGAATACTCCAATGGAACTACCCAATGAACCGACAAGATCCAAAGGCTCATCTCAGAGGCTAAAGGAGTTTCCCACTGTGACTGAGTCAGCCATAGTCCACAGGCAGAGCAAGCTGGGCACTGGGCTGTGCTGTCACCACAAGGCGCTGAGTAGTGCCAACACCAGACCCTTGTATTACCTCTAACCACTACATGGGAGCCCACCACTACTGCAAAAGACATTCTTCACTACACGAAATTCTGAATGAAATTACTTGTTTTACAAAAGGAACTGGAATAATAAGAGGGCAAGTTAAACATGTTAAGTAAATGAAGGATACTTGGAAGACAACCAGCTTCGTAAATACGTTGGGCGTTTCTGGAATGACCAACCCTGTTCTCAGATTAGGGTTCCCGTCAAGCTAATCTCTCACATACACAGCTGTGACACTAACCAAGCCCTCAACAGGTCAACAGTAAGCGACAGCAAACCTCTCTATTTGCTCCAGGAGGCATGTTATCTTATCTTCTCAGAAAATTAAAGATGGTCAAATTAAAGATGGTCGGAATGACCTGCTGATTTATTTTCACAAATACCATTTATAAAGATTTTTTAAATGGGGAAAATTATTCTTGGTTAAATATAGTGGTCCAGACAGGAAGATCATTGTGAGTTCAAGGCCAGCCTGGGCTACAAAGTGAGTTCAAGGCCAGCCTGAACTGCATAGCAAGACTCTGTCTCAAAAAGA